ATAGCCTATATTCATCAACGTAAACACTGCCTTCTTTGCCAACCCCAAGAATATAGTAATAGGAGTGTGACAACGTTCCCGACCTTTTGGCACACATTTCTACAGACTGCCGAAACAGCACGTCGAAATATGGGGGCAATAAAACTATACTGACTCAAGTGTCATTTTATAATTTTTTTCAACTTTTCGCATGAATTCATGGAAGAAACTAAAAATTTTCGTGCCACAATGATTCAAGCGCAAAAACTACCAACTTCTGTAGGAACTACTCAATCACCCACTTTCCTTCTTCCGGTCCATTAAAAGAAACACAAACGCCTTTCCCGCGTTTTCTCTAAATTATGAGAATGCTACTTGGATCAGTATGCGTCTCTTCTCGCCATATGAGCTCAGAATGTCATCGATGTTACGACCTGATACTCTATAATCGAAATTGTCACATGCCTAGGTGAGGTGGATTAAGACAACTAAATATAATACTTAGTATACAGTTTTATTTTATTTATACGTTTGTATAGAATTAAATCGAATACTTTTAACGAAACACTTGGTGTTATTTTAATGTATCATTCTATGGTTAACCTTCATGTAGGCATGGAGTAACATCCGTTCGTTCGCCTGTCCGCCCCTCTCTGTTAATTCCCTTCCAGTCCCCCAATCTCAACAAATGAGTTGTCGTTTACTACACTCTCTTTCTGGCATTTGTATGAATGGTCATTTCTTGTTTTAACATATTCTTGATAATTAAACCGAATATTTTAATGAATCAAACATTCAAACGAGTATTTTAATATTTACTTGGCTGTCCGGGTGACACCGCGTCCATGGCAAAGGTGCCGACGTCGTCATTCTGCGACCTTCCTCAGGGCGTAATGCTAGGGCATTACATCCAAGTAGCTACTGACTCCGGCCGCGGAAGCCTACGCTCTCACGAGTATTTTAACCGCTACTGTTTCATACATCTTTCTATTCACGAAAATGGCCAAGTCGGGCAAAAGTAATAATGTTTTAAAATTTATTTCGTATCAAATGCAAGTTACAATCAATTTTTTTACCAATTTACGCTCTGGTAGTAATAGAGTAAATAAATAAAATGGAAAGGAAGTTTCACTGTTCAAAAACGTTTCTATTCCTTCTAGAAGAAAGATAGTTAAAATGATCCATTTGAAGCACGTGTGTTTTAATAAGCTAATAAAACCATCCAAATGAAACATCCTTATGTGCTACCGCAACTTCAGCGCATAATTGTAAATAAATATCGTTCGAGCAGGTGCCCTTTTTGCTCCTTCCTTGACCGATAATCGTGTTATCGACGGCGGAATGTCGTCTGAGAAGACAGTCTTCCTGGCGCTGGCGCCCCCTGCGGGGTTCATCAGGCGAGGTTGCCCTGAAAGGCATTGCATCGCGCCGCGCCGCGCCGCCTCGGAATGGCGGCCGCGCGAGACCCATTTGGCGACCCGTCCAAGTAACGGCCCCGCGGGGAGTCGGAGGCGCACACGCTCCACTGGCGGCGGCGAATCCCCCGCACTTTGCCTTTGTTCCCCGCTCTGCGTCAACTGCCTGCTAGACGCGCGCGCTCGCTTGCTTGCGTAGTACGTGCCAACGAGGCAGCTAGCCGTGTGTGAAAATCACAGACTGGAAATACGAAAAAGTAAACGTATTACACTTAATTTCGGTGGTGTATGGATTAGCATATCGGGCTGTTGTAACCACATTAGCGGGTACAAACCCCATCGAAGCCGTGGATTTTGAAAGGCGAACACCTTCGAACGCCTTCCTTCAGAGGGGAAGTTGATCCGGCTCTCCCATGTTGTAGATTTACTGCATGTAAAAGACTCAAGCCTAAAAGAAACCTCTGCACTAAATTCAAATCGCCTGTTTTGTCGCCCGAGTGATACCTTCTTTCTCCGCTAGATGATGAAGCGGGTCTGAATCTTACCCGTAAAATAAAGCATGAACTGAACTGAATGTTTGTGTATTTTTTCATAGACTGAGTGTGTGCGTTTAAAAAATATATATTTGTCTTTTAAGAATTTAGTATTTAGTAAACATAATATTGCAACTTAAAAAAAGAGATTCTTTAACTATTTAATTTTCTGGAAACATTTAACTAAAGTATGAAATTCCTGTGTATTTTACTGTCAAAAAACAAGCTCAAAAACACATTTTAGAATAAAAAAATAAATTCTTATCCAAACACTGCATCAAATTGACATTCATTCATACGTGGACACTTTTGCATTATACAAGGCTTGGTTACCATTGTCAATTTTTATCATTAAACTTTTATCTTTTACTATACTTTATTACAAACCTTCCTGTTCATACACTTAATAAAATGTCTTTTCATCTCCCATGTGTGCGTGCTTAGACTTTGGTATGTTCAATGCCCATTCCATTATACTACATTATTCGTCCTCGTAATTATCATCACCCGATTCTAGCCACATACTCTTGTCCATTTCCACGTTTCTAATAAACGTTAATCAAATTTACTAACTTAAAAAATGTACTGATTCCGTATATTATTTTATAACTGACGGACCGAATTTCCAGTACCTCGTGATGTAATAAATTACTTTTTGCATTCGAAATTCAAAGTTCTTGGACTTTTACATGTCCAACTTTCAGAAAAGCCTTTTCAATCTTTGCGATAATCTGTGCCAGAATTCACTAGTCTCAAAAACTACATTCTTATTGGACAATGGTATCTAATTCTAGAAATACATTGTTCTTTTATGAAATTCATTAAATATTAATTTTGTTCTCCTGCAGTCTCGAAATGTGCAACAAACGCTGGTTAAATGTCCCATAATTTATTTCATTTGTTTACAATAACATTCTACAGACCATATTACTATTTATTTTCGTTCTGAATATAATACACACACTTCACCTTATGATGTTTTTTTAGTAATTGTACGTCGGAAATCAGCAATTTTTCGACAGAAAAACACTTACTGCCGGGCCCTGGTAACGAAAAAGTGGATAAATATTGTTCTTATGTATATTAAATTAATTTCTCTGAAACGTTGTGTTCTCAAAATCCATGTTTTGTGTCTCTTTTGTACCGAAAAATCAATTGACGTTAAAACGTTTGTCTGACCGTACGTCTTGCACGTTGTGCCTAAATTGTTTAGACGATATTCTCCAAAATTGATAATCCTCGACCGAATTAGGGAAACTCGAGGCTCTGCGAGATTGAAACGGGTATTTTGATTTTTGGGGGTATTTTACATGTAGCGTCAATTACATTTTCTCAAAATTTTTCTCAAAATCAAAAATTTTCTCAAAAATGTCTCCAAAGATTTTGATTAAACTTTGTTCTCTGACACTTTGAACTTAATCATTTTATTACTTTTTGTAAAAAAACGGTTCAAAATTATTTAATTTTTTACGCGTAAAGATCGAAAGACGCTTAGAAATAGACGTAGGCCTAATTTTCGTTGAACGTATCTCTGAACTTTCGAAAATTGCATAAGTTTGAAATAATGAGGGAAAGTATGTTGCACCGTTAGTTATTCTTTACTTATTTATTTTCTTATTTTATTTTTTATTTTTTATTTTTATATTTTGCTTATTTCTTTTGTTCTAATATTTTTATTTATTATTTGGAATAAAATGTCTCATCTTCCAACTTATCATACCCTTTAACCCTAGGAAGGGCAAGATGTGGGTTACCCTACAGTAGTCCTTCGGAGAACCTTTTGCGCATCAACAATTCTCTTATTTGCAAAACTGAATTTATTGTGTTACTATATTTTGTATATGATATGATTTTCAATGCTTGGGCTACTTGGTGCAGTGGATATGCTGAGCAACTTGCTAAGTACTGTACATGAGTTCGAAGCCCAGGGGCAAATACTTTTCGAGTGCACGTATCACGTAACTGTTATTATTTGTAATGCAACCATTTCAAATAAAAGGAGAAACTACGTGCTGTGGGTGCTCGAATAGTTTTATAACTGAAAAATTGCGAGTTATTTCCATAGTCTTTTCAATGGTTTAATGATAAGAGAAACTCTTGAAGTATCGGCTGTACTTAAAGTAGGATGGATGTGTTGACCATTCATGCAGGTACACTAACTGCGAACGAAAAATGAATAGTTAATATATTTTCCAAAGATATACTTCTAATCTGACAACTCGTCACTGCAGAAAACGAGAAGATGATGAAAGTGTTGGGTTATATAACTGGAAATAGAAACTCGCAGCGCTCGAAGTTGGCAAAAATACGTCTGATGTAACAGGTTCAGGAAATAATAAACTATTCAGGATTCTGATTGTTAAAAGTCTTAACAGATGCAGGCCGTTGGAGTAGATTTTCGTTTCTCTGTTTGGTAGCTTTTAATCGATGTAACAGTTCAGTATTATGAAAAATAAATTGTATTCCTCCTGGTATAATGTAATTAATTTTTGTGTTGAAACTCTTGTTTTACAAACCGGTTATTTTGCGTGATTATTACAACCAGATTAAACTGAAGGAAGAGAATAATCTAAAACCGGTATTTTTGTAATAACTATCATCTCTATCCATAGTGCGCCGTGCGATCTCTCCCCCAAGCAGGCACCGCGTGCAGCCTCTCGTAACTTGCAGGCTTAATGTCTTCTGAGCACCGCCTCTCGCGTGCAGATGCAGCACGACGTACGCATTACCGCGAACACAAGCATCCTCAACGAGACCGCTACTGCGTGCGTGCGTGCGCGCGCGTGTTCTCGGGAACCAGCAACTCGAGCATCGAAGTTGAGAGGCCACAGGTGGAGGAATAGCGACACCGGGTAAGGGGGAAGTACCTGTGTCGGACAATGCTACTGCCCAAATGAGGATTCGAGAGGTCGGTTACTATGAGATGTTGTTTCCTGATTTCCTGTGATCATTTCTGGGAAACTGCTGGGGCAATGTCTTAAAGGTGTACAGACGCGGCGATGGTGTAACGGTTAGCGATTAGGACTGTTGTACCCAAGTTGGCGGGTTTAAACCCGATCGAAGCCGTGGATTTTTAAGGGCGGAAAAGTCCTTCGTACCCCTTCCTTCGGAGGGGAAGTAAAGCCAGCTGTCCCATGTCAGTAGATTTACTTGCATGTAAAAGATCCTCAAGCCTAAATGACGCCTCTGAGCCAAATTCAAATCGCCAGTTTCTCGCCCAAGAAATACCTCCTTTCTCTGCTAGTTGGTGAAAGGAGCGTAGCGAAATTTGCGTGGTCAAGCAGAAGAGCAGGCCTGCTGGTCTGAGTATCGCCACGTAAAATAAGGCATTAATTCAATTCATTTTTTAAAGGACGTGCCAGTGAATGCGCTTGTTTCTTACCCACGTCATTAGTGCTACGAAGTGCAGTGCACAGACGGGGAGGGGCCAAACTCCCAGAACTGGAGAGATCCTCTAATCTTTTTTTAACTCGTTAACGGGTTAAAGGGGGCAAGAGGGTCTGGGTAAGAGGCCATGAACTCGGAAGACCGATTCGTTTCGAGACGGGAGAGTTTAATACATCTTTTTATCTCATCAACACCAGAGCAACGTCAGAGCGCTCAAATGAGATTTGGGGAACGCCCATTTCAGTCGAGCTCTGACATATCCAGGTGCCAGACTAAAAGGTGCCTTGGGGAAGGTTGAGAATATTTGAAGAGCATATATTTGGCGGTAATAACAAAGCAATATAATCTAAGTATATCCACAAATAAAACCAAATCCATGTCATTCCAAGACTTATAACCTTTAATATGTAAATTCATATTAGAAAACAAAATTATTGAACAGGTTAATACCTTCAGATTTCTAGGATGTGACGTATCATATCTCGGCGAAGTTGATATTGTAAAGAAGATAGAAAGATTCAATATGATGTGTGGCACCATCAAAAGAGCGTTCAAAGGAAATGTCCATAAAGACACAATGCTAAAGTTTTATTAAGTTATGGCAGTGCCTTGCGGACTTTACGGAAGCGAAAACTGGACTATGAACTCCAGAACACACAGTAGACTTCAAGCAGTCGAGATAAGATTTTTAAGGTCAGTACTGGGAGTAACAAGCATGGACAGATTAAAAAACGAGACCATTTGGAAAAATATAGGAACTTAAACAAAAAAATTAAGGAATACAAAGAACAATGGCAAAAACACCTCGAAAGAATGGAAGACGACCGTATTTCAAAGCCTTCGGTACATCCTTGAAGAAGAAGCGTTGGTAGACAGGAGAAGATGTTAGATCAAAGAGGCGCAACGGACCAACGGTCTAATGCTTGAGGGAAGAAGAAGAAGAGATGATGATATTGGGCTGTGCCTCAAAACCCTAGATAAACCTAAGTAGGCATGTTTAGGGCTCAGTGATTATTTTCATCCCCATTCCTATCTCCACTTACATCCATAGTTGGAGCCATGAGCTGCTCTCATCATGGGATATTCCCCAGGATGTTGGAGGTTTCCGAGAATGTATACGTACGTGAGTACGATGTCAAACCACGGCGTTAATTGTCCTGCCCCGTTGGAGATGATAATGACAAGGGGCGGCGGCGCGGCGTCTCAGCGAAAGCCCTTGGGCAGCTGAGCGAAGATGTGACTTCACCACGACTGGTGGTAGCAACGATATATCAAGTTTTAATGTTTTCAATTATAAAACGTGTTCTCAATACGCTGTACATTAACGCTGTACATTATTCCTCCTTGTAATCTAATACATGTCATAGATAACCGGTAACAGTTACATACTAGTAGTTTTAACTGTGAAAATGAATCTATATGCTAATGGATAATCAATTCTAAAGTTTACGGACGAATGCAATGTGTGAATCACCATTGATTCTAGTATTTGATGCCGAGCAGTAAATTTAGTGTCGAAGGTTACCTTTTATGTTTCGGGATTTGGCAACCCTGGTGTTGCAATCTTTCAACTGACAGCTCTATCTCTAAAGTTGGATTTTTGAGTTTATACGTACTCAGAACGTTTTGACATACGAGCGCTATTTGTGTTTTTTATAGTAACATTAATAAATTCATCTTGGCCGAAAAATAGAATTAATCGTGAACATATTTTCGTGTGATTATTTCTAACAACTTCGACGTGGATTAACTCAAACATACAGGGATGAATCTTCGATCAATTTTTGGCGATGAAGAGATCAAGGACAGTGTTTATCCGATGGTATGTGAATTAAATCGTGTTGTTGTAGTTCACTCCAAGACAATTTCGCGAAGTCGTCAAATCAGTTTGTTGTTCCGAAACATTGATGCTGTGCGTGAATGATTATTCCAAGGACTCATGTGACCTATCGTGAGATTGATGACAACTTAGGCATTTAGTGCGACCACAATACATTCAATATTGCATGAACATTTGAATTGTATAAAAAAATTGTTCGCGTTGGATCCCACATTTGTCATCGCTCAAAAACAAGGTTCGTGGTCGATTGTCAAAAAGAAAGATAATAAAAATGCGATCGCGTGCTTCGAAACACGTTATACATCGTAACAAGGTGATGAATCGTAGAATTTACGGCGTATGAGCCGAAAGTAAACAGCAGCGACTGTATGGGTTTCAAGATAAAAGCAAAATCCAAACAGTTGTCTGGCGCACTGAGGATCGAGCACTTCCAAACAGAGTCGGCGCTGTTTTTTCGGAGAAATGAACTGTCCAACTGTAGCGACTGAACACGCAAGACAGTCAGTCTGATGGTACACAAGATTTGTTTGCCAGCTGTCTTCCAAAGAAATCTGAAAGCCAACCGCGAAGACGGATCAACTCTTCACTCACGCAATCAAGCTCTCACACATGCGGCTTCAACAATTGCATTATTTGAGCACACAAAACATCGATTTGGTTTAGTCCATCCGCCAATATATCCCTGACATGGCACTAAGACTTCTTTTTCTTTCCGTACGTAAAAAACAAACTGAAAGTCAAAGTTTTGTCGACACCTGAAGAAGCTGTTGCTGCATTCAGAATGCATGTTTTGGAGATACCTCAAAGTGGCAAAAAAAACTTCGACAATTGGTTCAAACGCATGAAAAAGTGTGTACATCTTCATGGGGAATATTTTGAAAAACAATAAAGTAATTTTCGATAATTAATATTTGTTTTTGTTCTCTAATCCTGAAATATAAAAGGCAACCCCCGGTGTGAACCATCAAGTGACAAAAGGTTGTGTTTGCTGACCAGAGAGACAAAAAACTTGAAAGAGAAATTGAAGAGCTTATTTTGAATATAACATATTTACAAGAAACATTTTTCATGAAGGGAAAGTATTTAAATTCAGCATTGTAGTTCAAGGTAGCTTTCAAAAGGTTTTCTGACAGTTAACAAAGGAGAAACGCGATTCCTGAACACTGTGTAATAAGTAATGATCTCAGCTTTAAGAATGGATTTCCAACCTCGCAATGTCGGTGAATGTTAGCAAAGAACGAGTGGTCGAACGAGGACATTGCTTCTTCATTCAACTGAGAATGCCACTCTCATTAAAAATGTATTTAACATAAAGTGCATTCGAATTTGCGTTGGAGAGAATCAGTAAAGTTTTATTTTAATCTCATAGGTCGAAAACTTGGACTTTGTCGCGAACACATATAGAAGCCGCCTTAAAAGTATGAGAGTTATAAATTTGTTCCTCCGCTTATGGTTTCGTGTTGTCGTTCGCTATGTTCTCAAGAAAGTGAGTCGTCTTCTTCACGTGTTCATTGTTGCGTAATACGTTAATTGATGAGAGGCAGCTGAACTAGCTGAGATGGGGACATTGAGTAAGATGTGGCTGAGCTGTACTATCGGTCGAAGGTAACTTCAAACTCAGGGCGAGTCACAGTGCATAGCGTTATTGGCAGAAATAGAATCAGTTTGGAAAACACAGTTTCAACTTCATTTCGACATTTTCAATTTCAATTTGTTACATCAAAGTCTAAGCCTCCTGACATTATAAATCGCTGCTGTAGTATATTCTCTACTAAATTTGTAATTAAAAGTCCAATAAATGTCATGAATCAAGTGCCTACACAATCATTTTTGTGTCGTACATTTCCATTAGATTTGTATTTGAGCCAAAATATCTTAAACTCTCCATAGACTACTTCATTCCCCCACTCTTTGGAGAAAGCAAATCGTCCCCTGCGCAAATGGATGAAATAGGTAATGTAATGCGAGATTTTCGAGGAATCCTTAAAAGGACATACCACTGTGAATCTACGCGTATCCGATTGATGGTGTTGACGATAATGATGGCAACGCTGCAGCGGCGATAAGAAGGGTGGCGCGAGTGAATCTCACTAATGGAATGGACGCGAGAAAGTGTTAGTACCGAAGCTGCTAATAAGGCTTTCGCGTGGGTCTCCTGCAGCTCTATGCATAAATGCAGGTATGCATAAACAGTGGGAATTAGTTCAATAATATCATTAACAGGCGTTACTTTGATGAGATTTCGTTTTCATAGTTTTTGGGTTTCTCTAAACTCCTATGTGTCGTCAAAATTCAAAATAACTGATCCAATATTATAATGAGAATTACATAACAACTCATAAATTTAGGAGTTGTTAAAGTTATACTAAACTTTTAGCATTAAAAATAGAAAAAAAAATAATATCTAGGATAGAAAGCGGGAAGTGCAATGAAGAAAAAACAAAATGAGGTTAGTTTTGTATCTTTTAATGATATCTTGAAATAACCTGCTTGTAAAAGTTTAGAAATTTAACTGTGTACTACTGTAGAGAATGTAAAGCAGCAAACAAATCGATGTCAATATTTTAACGAAAGCATACCTTTTGTGGAGGCGAGAGGTTTGCGATACCGGTAAAG